TTTACGTCGACAAGATTCATGTGCCGCCCAATCCCCTGAATATCCTAACTTCACCTTGGCCTTTCGCGATGTGGGGAATTGATATGATAGGCCAAATTGATCCAACCGCTTCCAACGGACACTGTTTCATTTTGGTGCCTATCGATTACTTTACTAAGTGGGTCGAAGCAGCATCTTATGCCAATGTCACTAAGCAGGTGGTAGCACGTTTCATCAAGCATAACATAATATGTCGATACGGCATTCCCGAAAAGATTATTACTGATAATGGGCCGAACCTAAATAATAAGATGATGAAAGAGTTGTGTGAAAACTTTAAGATAAAACATCACAATTCCTCTCCTTATCGCCCTAAGATGAATGGCGCGGTTGAAGCAGCAAACAAAAATATTAAGAAGATTGTGCAGAAAATGGTCATCACTTATAAAGATTGGCACGAGATGCTACCAATCGCTTTACATGGTTATCGTACCACCATGCGTACCTAGACTGGGGCAACCCCTTTTTGCTCGTTTACAGCATGCAAGCAGTCCTACTAGTGGAAGTGGAAATCCCTTCTTTAAGGATAATGATGGATGCACAATTGGATGAGACTGAATGGGTCCAGAATAGATTCGATCAACTGAATCTCATTGAGGAGAAAAGATTAACATCGATTTTCCACGGAAAGTTATACCAAAAAAAGATGAAGAAATCCTTTGATAAGAGGGTACATCCGCGGAATTTTCAAACTGGTGATCTGGTGTTAAAAAGGATCTTACCTCCTAACAACACGGACGCTAGAGGTAAATGGGATCCCAATTATGAAGGACCTTTTCTTATAAAGAAAGTTTTCTCGGGAGGGTCTATGATGCTCGCAACCATGGATGGAGAGGATTTCCCTCACCCTGTCAATGCGGATGCGGTAAAAAAATATTTCGCGTAAGAGGTCATTGGTTTGATCAGAACAGGACGAAGGTTTGGTCCAGCCACTTATTCGGAAGACAAGTAATGAAGAATTCAGGGGTCATGAGAGTTGTAGCAGAGTTGTACTTGACAAAGTCTATATTCATTTTCTTTTATTTCTTTTGTCTTCCTGCCTATATCTTTCGCTTGCAATTGTTCCTTTTCGATAATTGCTTTTCATTGTAAATGCCTATTTACAGGCCAATCATTCAATAAAAGTGTTTGTTCAAATTACGCCAAGATTGTTTTTCATTATTATTGTTTTGATAAACAAAAGATGTTCAATATTTTCAATAAAATAATGCAACAAAAAAACATTAAAGCTTCACAGCACGTGGCATCAGAGTACTCAAATATCAGGTGTAGGGACCAGTCCATGCTCAAGACGTGTTGTTATAAAGTTCACCTCCGCAGAATAGGATATTCTTACTAAGGATATGGCGGATATTCGTCCTCAGCCCAAGAGTACAAAGTATCCATAGATAAGAAGTGAGATTACCAAGCGTACTTTTTGAAGCAATAAGTCCGAACGGAGACTAGTCTCCATTACATTTGCATTCTCATTTGTAATCTTTCTTATTTTTGTTCAGTACCTCTTTGTATGCAAGACTTGCCTGTTTTGAATGTTAATCACAATGCATTAAATTTCTTTGTCTTGAATTAATCCATTCATACTCACTCATTAATGTTTTCCTTTGACTTTTTGATACTTAACTCTTGTTAAATAAAGCAAAGAACCTCTGGACGGAGGATGATGAGTAATATACCGAAAATTTAAACGGTATGCTTTTGAGTAGGACTCTACTAACGATATATAGACCTTGTTTCAAATTCCCAAACACCGGAGATATAAGGGAGATAGACCCTCGTTAACCCCTTTGAGCCTTGAAGTAGGAGTTTCTTTTCTTTTCAGAAAAACCCTCACATTTAACCCGGGGCAGGGTAGATTTCAGTTAATCTGATTGGACATTCAAAGATACAACAATGGTTATCCTTCAGAAGGTTGAGAAAGAACAAAACCACAATGGATAACTCCCATCTATCAGCAGCGTGCATCAATGAGAATGATATCCCAAATATTTTGATCCTTAAATCCTTTTTTTTCTAAAACCGTGAACCAGGCCACGTTACAACCCTTAAAATTCCTAATTGAAGCATGGGTTAATTCGAAAGCACACTGTAACAAGAATACGGTAATATGACTCCTAGGACGCTTGCAAAAACTTTTGAGTTGGTATCACTCCATCCTTTTACTATCTTTTGTACAAATTTATTTTGATGTTTCAACATATTTTTCATACAAGTTTTTTAAACTTCAAGACAAACGTGAGCTTTGCATTACAATTACCATTCTTAGAATAAACATTCTTTGCATATGAGCAAGTGCTTAAACATCAAGTAAGTTTTCATAATGAGCATCAGATGAAAATTTGATCATCTCAAGGGACAAATTGCTTCAGGATACCGTTTAAAGGTAAATCATTTGTGAGAACGGTCTTAATCTAGGCCAAATCTTCTATTGACTTTGTTGAGTAAAAGAATACCGGTTTGAGAAATGATATGAAGTAGATTGCAAAAGTTGATTTCCAAGAGTCTCTGTCAAGCAGTGGTGCATTACTTTCAGTTGGTCCCAAGGGACGTATTGCTTCGAGTATTTGCTCGAGAATGAAGCAGTTCAAGTCGAGAAGTATGGTTGTGAAGTAACCTACTTTCAAGACATAAGCCAACCACTCTAAGGTTATATTGCCTTTGAAAATCCTCAAGTTTCTCATCCTTCCATGAGCATGAGGTAAAGGAAAAGGTTTGTCGAGATTCTATTGAGCAGGGGAAAGCGTGTCGAATACTCCATCGAGTAAGTATTCAGCCAATCTGAGGCATTCAAGTCGGGATTTTATCCCTCAAAGTGAAGTCAAACTGGGGAAATTATACTAATATTTAACAAATCTCTATGAGAATGCGTTGATCAGAGGAGAATCTTTCCCGAATTTGAAGATGTATGGCCATTCACTCAAGCATAGTTGGAATCATATCCAATTTTTATTATCTAAACATCATGTTCCAAAGTTCATAACACTGGGGCAGATTGTCTTCAACAGTATAAATCTCAAAAAGTCCTCTCGAGGCAATTTTCTGCAAAATCCTTACCGACTGGGGCAAGAATTTATGTAAGGGCTTTCTCTCTTCTTCAGTAGTTGAGAAGATCAAGTCCATGTGTAGGCTAAAACGACCTATGAATTTGAAAATCGTGCCGAGAGGTCAGCATTGTTATCTTCGAGTTATCATAGATTCAAGTCCACTTACTGGTATCCTTTGTCCTAAGTCAAGGATATTATCTCCAGTTGAAGTTTGGATTATTGTCCTTAGTGGGTGTGATACGGTGGGAGAGAACTGACTGTTTTTTGGAATGCTGGTTCGCGTTTTGCGTTTGTTTTTGCAAAATGTCGCAGTAAGCAAGAGTCGCCACCGACTTTTATTTTATCCAACAAGGAAAGGAAAAAAAGCACAGAAAAATTCCTTTTTTTGAGATATTTCTCGGGTCCGGGGGGTAGATTATAGAAAGGGAAGGTGTTAGCACCCTTTCTATCCGTGGTTATCCACGGGCTCTTAGGTACTTGCTCATATTGTTTTCAAAATTGCTTTTCTTTGTGTTTGTGGGTTTGAAGTAATTTTTGTTTGAAAGGTGTAAGTGTGAAAAAGATTTTGTTTTTGTTTTTTGAAAGAAAAAGTACTTAAGAACCATCTACCTACTCGAAAAGGGAATCGTTCTATGCTATCTTCCTTTAGACAATTCTATCCCACTATGAATGAGTGGGTAGCACCGCCGTTGGAGTTTAAGGGTCAATTCGAATGAGGGACATATGATCACCAAAGCAATGTTAGGATGCCTTAGCGGTAACCCTAATGTCTTAGATCATTTGTTTTGAGGCAACAATATCCGAGGCAACAATTTCGAGGCGACTATGATCTTTTAGACAAGAGGATGACCTCTAAAGCGACCTATACTTAATGACCGCGTACGAAGGAAACCAAGTGGGGTGTACCCTAAGAGTGCGCAATGTGCGAGTGTGTCGTTTTTAGTTAATTTTATCTTTGTACATGTTAATGGTGATCTAAGTTGATTTTAGGTTTAGAACATTCAGTCTTGTCAGGCATCCCTATTATCAAACATCTAACAATTATATTTTGTGGAAAATAAATTGCGGAAATTAAATTACAAGGCGTCGGGTATTTACATCGCCAAAAGCAACCCTTTGAAATTTAAATGCGGAAAATAAATAAAGCGATAAAATAATTAAATGGTCCTAATTATCTATTACATTCCGGGAAAAAATATAATATTGGATAAAAGAAAGTAAATCGCGTGCAGAAATTAAATCGGGTGCAAGTTTAGGGTTTTGACCCTTTTTTGAAAGAAAGTATTTTTTTTTTGTTATTTTTGAATTAAGAAAGAAACTATTCTAAATTAATTATTAAATTAATAAATTAATTAATTAATTAAATGAGAAAAGTTATTTTTTGGATTTTTTGGTATTTTAAGAAAGAAATCAAAATTAATGTTAGTAATTAAAACCTAAATTAATTCTAATTTAATTTTAATTGTTTACAAAAAAGTTAAAGTTATTCTAAAAAAAATCTAAATTAATTTAATTAGTATTTATTGATAAAAAATAAAAGGGTTAATACCTATTTTCACCCCTGACATATGGGGTGTATTTGAAAAACCCCCCTGCCAAAAAAAAAGTTACAATTGTTACCTTGACAAATTTTAAAAGTTTCAGTTTTTACCTTGAGGATGCCACATCACCTAAAAGGCTGATGTGGCTTATATTTTTGTTACATTTGTAAGTTTTTGTTATGCCATGTCACACAATACCAAATAAAATGTCCAGAATGCCCTTTTCTTAAAATCCCAAATTATTTGGCAAATGTTATGTTTCAATTCAGACCCTCCAAATTAGGGCGCAGCCATCCATCTTCATTTGTTTGCAAAATTATTTTACAAAAAAAGCCAGTTTCAATTCAGACCCTGCGATTAGGGTTCTTCATCCTTGCAAATGGGTGTGTTTAATTTAGTGTTTCATCATGGGGGAAGTTTCGTGCAAGACGGCCATACGTATTATAGAGGAGGTAGTGAGACTACTGTTGAAGGTCAGGACGAAGATAAATGGAGCTTTTTTGAAGCTGTTAGTCTGGTTAAAGATTGGGGTTATGAAGGTTTTAGGCTATGGAGAAAGATTCCGCAAACGGATGAAGGGTTTACAAATGTTGTTGATGATGCAGGAGCTGTAGAAGTTGCTAAGCATTGTATGTCTTGTAGGGTTCACGGAGATCTTTGGGTATAGCACGGTGTAGAAGACATGATGACCAAGGTTCTGGTACCTAATGTTGATGACTTCAGCACCTCTAGTGGAGATGATAGTACTGGTGACTATGTTGATGCAAGCCAATGTTTCAATGACAGTGAAGAGGAAAGAGTAATTGACGTAGAAGAAGAGCAATTTGAACAAGTGGAGGTAGCTGTTCCAGTTAGTGGGAATAGGGTGGAGATCGAAGGGAAATCATTGAGATTCAAGCGTTGTGCATCCAAGGATCCCAAAAAGATGAAAGAAAAGAGCAAAAGGGACAAGGTCAGTGTTTTGGTGCCCAAAAGTGTCTTAGGATCTTGTTCAAAGAGGGCTACAAGGAAATGTGAAGATGTGGATTATGCTAGTGAGGAACTTGAAAGTTCAGATGCTGATGAAAGTGACATGGATGACAAACCTTCCAAGCCAAAGTATGAGAAGTTTACATCAGAGCTGCTTAACAAAGACTTTCAATTCAAATTAGGTATGGATTTAAAGATGCTATCAGTGATTGGTCAGTATTAAATGGTAGAGAAATAAGGTTTGTTAAGAATGAGAGCTGTAGGGTTAGGGTTGAGTGTAAGAGTAAATGTGGGTTTTTGGCATTGTGTAGCAAAGTGGGAGGTAGCCTCACTTACCAGATAAAGACTTGGGTGGGGACCCACACATGTGCCAGGGTATTAAATAACAAGTCTGCCAATTACAAGTGGGTCTCTAAGTTAGTGGTTGAAAAGAGGAAGTCACAAGGGAAAGTTAAACTGTCTGAAATTATGTCTGAGCTTAGACAGAAATATTCAGTGGGCATTACCAAAGGGAAAGCTTTGAGAGCCAAAGCTATGGTTGAAGAAATAATTGAAGGTGATGCAAAGGAACAGTATAAAATGTTATGGAGATATGCAGCTGAGTTAAGAAAACATTGTGCTGGGAACACTGTCAAACTAAATATTGAGAGACCACATCCAACACTACCACTAAGATTTGGTAGATTTTACTTCTGTTTTGATGGATGCAAGAGAGGGTTTACCAAGGGTTGTAGACCATTTATAAGGGTAGATGGGTGTCATCTTAAGACACAATATGGAGGTCAGTTGTTAATTGTTGTAGCAAGGGACCCGAATGACCAATATTATCCTTTGGCATTTGGTGTGGTGGAGACTAAGACAAAAGAAAGCTGGAGATGGTTTATGCAATTGCTAATGGAAGACATTGGAGAAGAGAGAAAGTATGTTTTTATTTCAGACCAACAAAAGGTACAAATATGCACTAATTACCTTTGTTATTCACATTTATGAAACATGCACTAATTCTACACTAATATGCACTAATTCTGCTACTGTAGTATGTCTTAAGTGCAATTTTTTAAGTTGAAATGTGAAAACAAAATGTAGCCGACATCGAGAACTAACTCCTGTCCGAAAATAGGCTCAATCGGATAAACGGTGAATTAGTTATGAATTTTTGAAGTTTCAGCTCAGGCAAACTTATTTTGGGCTCCAGTGTCGACTCTGACACGTTCTTCAATAAAAAACTGGTATTGATCGGAGCATAATTCGGTCTCGACTTTGGAAGCAAAGTTGTAGATCTTTGAGTTAGTGACCTTGTGTAAAATTATGAGCCCAATCCGATAAAAATTGACCGAGTTATGAATTTTCGAAGTTTTGGCCCAGATGAAATAATATTCAGCATTCAGGATTTTCGGCGCGTCATACGCACTCTGAGCAAAAAACGAAGGCCTTTTGAATACCATTTGAACTTAATACCTTCTGTGAAAATGTAGCCAACTCAATTTGTGAAATTTTTGCACCGCAACCAGCTCGATACGATGAAAATCGACCAAGTTATGATTTTCTGAACATGAAGCAAATAAACTTCTGTCACAAATTTTTTGTATGAAAATACTTGATAAATCCACATTTTTGAAGACCTTCTGATCAAAATTGGCTTCCAGCCGTGAGATATGAAAATATAGATAATGTCAATACGGAATTTCGGCCACCGAAACGGGTTCAAAACAAGCCACGATCTTCAAGTTATGAATTTTTTAGCGCGTAAAAACTACACTTTCAACACACTTTTTCACCATATTTCTTTGAGAAAACTCACACATTCCGATACCTTCTTTAAAGAATTGACTCTTGAGCCAAACCTAAATTTGAGAATACGTTATCAGAGATATCTTGCGAAAGAACACCTGAATATGACGTGCCGGGTTGGACTTGTGAATCTTTGAACCCCGAATCGTTACAAAATGGCGAACCGATTTTCAGCACGGAAAATACTCTGAGAATATCCATTGACGAAATAAATGTCACTTGTAACCTGAAGAAGCTTGATAAATATACCTTTATTCCATAACCATAAGACCAATAATATGCGTGTATGAAAAGAGGGCAAATTTTGGGGTACAATAGTGGGGTATAAGCAGTGACGCCAAGATCATTTGAGGCTTGTTTACTCGTAGAAGACGCGATGGAAATATTGCTTCCTAGGGGGATGCCTCCTCCCAGTAAAAGACCCGTTGCAACTTGAAAAAGATCTGTCTACCAAAGGGTTTCTCTTCTAAGATATTTTCTCCCCAGTGAAGCATCCTCATTTCTCTGCAGGAGGAGAATAGATCTTCCCCCCAGAAATTCAGATGTTGTCTGAAGTCAAGATGATCCCTTTTCGTCAGACTGCAATTTATTTTTGCATCATCTTCTCTAAAGTCCACTTTTTAGTGGAATTCCTCCTCAGAGTCGACATATTGAAGTTGTAATCTTGCATCACGATTTTTACTCTGTGATTGATAGTTCAAATTGTTTATTCTTCAATAAGGTTTTCCATTCCAAACAGGGGCATGTCTCCCCAACTTCTGTTTTTGCAAGTACTGTTGGTCTTTCATGACAAGAAGCGCACTAACAAATGAATCAAGAAGGGTAACATGAGGATTTTTGTATAATGAGATCCAATTTCCCCAGTGGAACTATTATTCTTTCCCTAATAGAGCAAGTGTCCTATATCTCAAGTGAGGTGTACAAGAGAATCCCAGCCATAACTCTTTCGTTACCAGTGGTAGAAGATTTTGTTGAGATATCCCTAGTGGAGTTTCTTTCATGGGATGTTTATTTCTTCCCCAAGTGAGGATCTTTTACCTCCCGGTGATGTTATCCCCAGTGTGGTCTGAGTAGAATTATTTTTATTTAAGAATTTCTATATTCCCAACTGAAGTTATCTTCGTCAAAAAATTTCTATGCCAGAAGTTTCCATTTTCAGCAAAGCTTTTCTCTTTCCAATGGAGGATAAATAATTTGTTCCCCGTGAAGTGGAAGGTTTGATCAGAATTCAAGATTTTCACTGGACTATAATTTATTTTTGTAGTGTTCTCCCCAAGAAGTTACCTCCCTAGTGATATCAATCGTTTGAGGTTGATGGTTTCGAATCCCAGTTCCCCATTGAAGTTCATATTGCATTTTATCTATAAGAAGATCAGATGTATGAGAATAATCATTTGAAAGATCATTGCCTTCTCAACAGGCGATTATTGATGGGTTTTCCAATGCATTATTAAACATGCATCATTACATTGCATCTACTAAAACGCGTAGCATTTCCATTATATGGAGCATTACGCTATAAAAAAATCCAAACATGCATGAGTATAAGCCAATTGTGTCCACTTGTGGTAACCAGATTGTTATGCGCTCAGATTTGATTTATCTCTACAAATAAGCCTAGGGTAATTCTATTATGTTTCCCCAGCAGAGTTTATTTTGATTCACCACCAGTCGGGTCTATGGTATTTCTCCATTTCCCCAGTAAGTTTGTGGTTTGCGCTTGCCTTTGCAAGCCTTTGGTTATTTTACCCGTGTTTGCTTTGCCGTTAGAGTGTGAGTAAGAGTTAGTGTATAACCTTTCTTGCTTCTCAAGTGTTTGAGTATCCATACTTGGTGTGTGGTAATTCAGATGATTGCAACTCTTGAACGATTACACCCCGCCTCTGGCCTGAGGGATTTTTAGTTCTTGCGTATTTGCAACCTATCGAAATCCCAACGTGTTTTGGCAATCTTTGTTAGAGTCTTCTTTGACCAGTCTCTTTATCTTGTAAAGTTCACCTTCGATCGGTGATCTTTGAAGGTCCTACTTAGTCGGTTCCTTGTTTTGGTTTATCTGCGTTAGTTGGGTCCTCCTTTCGTCACCTTAGCTAACCTTTTATGTTAAGATTACTTCAGTGTCTCTTTAAAGTCCACCTTCGGCTGGCATCCTTAAAATCCACCTTCGCCTAGTATCATTTGTTGAGAGTCCCCTTCGGCTGGTCTCTTTTCAGTTGTAAGTTCGCCTTTGATTGTCGTTCTTTTCTTAGGAATCTACCTTCAGCATAGTATTCCTTGATGAAGATTCCCCTTCGGATGGTTTCTTCGCCCTTAAAGTCCACCTTCAGCTAGCATCCTTAAAATCCGCCTTCGGCTGGTATCAATTGTTGAGAGTCCCCTTCGGATAGTCTCTTTTCAGTTGTAAGTTCTCCTTTGATTGGTGTTCTTTTCTTAGGAATCTACATTCGGCATAGTATTCCTTGATGAAGATTCCCCTTCGGCCGGTTTCTTTATCCGAAAGTATACCTTCGGCTGACATCCTTTAAATCCACCTTCGGCTGGTATCATTTGTTGAATATCCCCCTTCGGCTGGTTTCTTTACCCTTAAAATCCCGCTTCGGTTGGTATCCTTTGTTAAATCCATCTTCGGATGGTATCATTTGTAAAAATCCATCTTCGGGTGGTATCATTTGTTAAAATCCATCTTCGGGTGGCATCATTTGTTAAAATCCATCTTCGGGTGGTATCATTTGTTAAAATACATCTTCGGGTGGTATCCTTTGCTAAAATCCCGCTTCGGCTGGTAACCTGTGTGAAAATCCATCTTCGAATGGTTTCTTTTAAATCCAACTTCGGCTGGTATCATTTGTCAAGGGTCCCATTTGTTTGGTCTCTTTTCTTAGTAAGTTCACCTTCGATTGGTGTTCTTTCGTCAGAGTCTTCCTCAACCAGTCTCTTTCTTGGGTATGTCTAACCTTGACCTGACATCCAAGAGATTTACTCAGCTGACTACTACGATCCAAAAAAAAAAGCGAAAAAAAAAATATAAAAAAAAAATAGAAAATGAAAAATATAATAACACCTGACTGGCTTCGGAGCGCAAATTTCCGGGTTCATTTAAGTATTTAATCTTCTTTTAATTGAAGGTTCGAAAGGCTGGCGCCAATCTCACCTTCAGGTCTAAGGCGATTAAATAGGGGCAGTTGTTGCACCCCAAAATTTTCCCTCCTAGTTTCTTATATTTGGCTTAGGCTTAGCATTACATTCATATCTTTTCATTAGGTTATTAACATACTTTTGCATACAATAAAGCGCTTGAGGTTCGAAGTTCAGTGGTCGCGCGATATTAAGATTTCACAGCGGTTAAGGCGTTCATATCCAATAAAGCTTAATTCTTCTGATTATCCTTCAAGCAGCGAAGTGTGGATTTAGGATTGCAACCTATGTTTATTGAGGGTTCTGTTCTCTTCAAGTTAAGGGGGTTATTACTTATTCAGATACATTCAAGACAAGAGTCAGAGTGTTTCTCCACCAAGTTTGTGCTTGACAGCATCTCATTAACCGAGGTTCATTAGGTTTTCTAGTTCATGGCCAGCTTGGTCATATTTCTTTCTGTATCGCCATGTTCATTTCCAAGTTGTTCTACGAGGTCATCTAAAGGGCTACTAAATCAGGAATTCATTATCTCCTTGTGCTCAACGTCATCCTTTGATTAGGGTTTATTTCTCTAAATCATGTATCATTAAAGAGAGGTTTCTCTCGTAAGTTGTGATCATCAGGCAAGGCTATCATCATGGGATATCGTCCATGAATAACCATGGTTTCAATTGATATATCTTTGGAAAATCAGAAGGAAATCATTGCTTGAATCTCTAGTCATGTGGGCAACAACTCTATTCTAGAAAAGAAGATTCTGCTGGACCTTCTTCACGAATAAGGGTTCGTATGCCTTATAAAGCAAAGCTCTTCATCTGGTCGATTGGCTTACTTGCGATATAATCTATGTTGTTTGGATTTCATTTAAATGCTTTGAAGATCAAAATCTAAAAGCTTTTTGTGGAAGTTTAGGATTTATATCCTATCATACTTAGGTTTATCAACATCTCCAATGGAGGTTCGTGAGATGATAAGGCGTGATATAAGGATGGCGTTGTAAATTCATTAAGAGCAAGGCAGTTTGGTTCTCTTATTATTTGTTATACAAGGTTTATGGGGATCAACGTGTTCGATCCATTCTCTCACGAAGGAAATAGGCTGATGTTAGGGGCCATTTAGTTCATGGTCATCAATTGAAGATTGGGCTCACTTCATGGCTTATGATATAGGTCGTTTGCTTTAGGGTTCATTCAGGAAGGAGGAATTCTGATCATGGAGTTTACTTTAGATTATTTTTAGAGAAATATCATGTGAATTCAAGTTTTGTTCATGAATTGGATTAAAGTTCATTTACCAAGCATGCAAGGTTAGAAAAGGATTCATGTGGATTTCTTGAGAAACAAGTTATTTGGAATTTAGAGCAAATGTCAAGTTTATGCATGCACAAGGGCGTTCAAGAATTATTCAAGGCTATTTCAAATTTCAAGATCACAAATCCAAATTTCATTCACCGTTCAAGTGACCATAATGCAATATCATTCAAGGTTTTCAAGCATTTTTAAGACAGAATTTTAAGTAGAAATTCCAAAAGTATGGGTATCATGACTCGAGTTTGCTTAACATGTGAATTTCAATATTTTTAAGGACCAATTCAAGATGTGAGGCCTTTTCGAGTTATCGTTTGTTACACATCCAAATTTTCAAAAAAAACTGTTTCATTCACAGTCGTCCATGGAAGCCTTGAACGAAAAGAAAAAAATGAACATTACAAAATCAAAAGCATGGCTAGCTCTAAGTTTTAAGCCTAAATAGAATCTTCCTGAGTCAATTCTTGAGTGCATACCTTTCTTTGCGTTCAAAGCTTTACCATACTTGCAAAGCTAGCCATAAAGTCCCGCATAAAAAGAAAAATACACAGTACAACAATTTCAAAGGATGTTATACAACAAAGGCCTAAACATAAAATCCCCAGGGTTCTAAATTATTTGAAACCAAATACTCCACAAATCAAAGACCAAAGCAGGCCTTGCTTTGTCCTTCTTGCAGCCACAAAACCATAGTGTCTCCCACAGCACTACCCTTCCCCCCATCTTCAAGGTGCTTTTTGGATTTTGCAATGGCTCTTACAAAGGTGGACAAACCGAAAAGATGATCCTAAAGCTCAGGCCTTGAAGACGACCAAGGCTGTGAAGTCAGGTGGCCAAGTGATTAAGAAGAAAGCAATGAAGATCAAAACAAATGTCACATTTCACCGGCCAAAGACTCTGTCGAAGGACAGAAACCCAAAGTATCCTCGCATTAGTGCAACACCAAGAAACAAGTTGGACCACTATCAAATACTTAAATTTCCTCTAAATACCGATTCTGCAATAAAGAAGATTGAAGATAACAATACCCTTGTGTTTTATTGACGAACTCCGTGCTGACAAGAAGAAAATTAAAGATGCTATGAAGAAAATGTACGATATTCAGGCCAAGAAAGTGAACACTTTGATCAGGCCTGATGGTACAAAGAAAGCCTATGTGCGGTTGACTCCAAATTAGGATGCATTGGATGCTGCTAACAAAATCGGTATCATTTAAGTTGTACTACATATTTGAGCAAACTTAATCCATCGATTCTAAGATAGCTGATATACATTACATATCATGTGTTAGGAATCTTTTTTCATCCTTATACATTACTCCGGTTGTGTACTCAAAAAAAAGGGGCCACTAACAAAATTCTCCAACAGTTTCCAACTTGTAACCAATTAACAAGAAACTCAAACAAAATTTTCTAACAGTTCTCAACCGATTCCTAACTATTAACAACCCCTAACCAAATCCCAACTGTTATAACTAATTTCAAATAGTTTTCTAACTAACTCTTTACTACCTAACCGCTTAAATAACTTTCATATACTAGCTTTCAACAGCTAACTTAACCTCCATTTAATCTGACCTTACCTCACTCTTAACAGTAGCCTAACAGAATTACTAACTAACTTATAGTTTTAACAAACTTAGTTCCATCTTATAGCTAACTTAAAACCAACCTGCCAGCTCACATAATAGAATTCTAAAGCCCCCAACTAACTCTAACAGTGATATAACAGAAAAAAGCTAACCTTATAACAGACATTAGCAGATTTAATCTCCACCTTCCATTCCATAACAAACTCTCATCATCCAAGGGCTCAAGTTCATTCTTCATGTAACTAATTTCAGACTTCCCTACCTATATAATCCAAACTCCCTCCAGATTTCAGGGGACACTGCGATACGGTGGGAGAACTGACTAGATGTTTTGCTTTTCGTTCGCACTTATGCGGTTAGCAAGAGTCGCCACCGACTTTTCTTTTTTCCAAAAGGAAAGGTAAAAAAGCACAGGAAAGACCTTTCGAGAATTTTCTCGGGTTCGGGGGGTAGATTATGAAAAGGGAAGGTACTAGCACCCTTTTCATCCATGGTTTTCCATGGGATCTTATTTACTCGTTTAGATCACTTGCTTTTGTTTGATTGTGTGCTTGTGGTGTAGGCTTTGAAAATATTTTGAAAAATCTCTTTGTAATGGTTCTCGTCTCTATAAGAATGTATTCAAAGTTTTGTTTCGAAAAAGTGGTTCAAAGAGGTGTTTGTGAATCGTGTTTCAAAAAGTGTTTTGAAAAGAGGTTTTGCAATGGTTCTCGTCTCTATAAGAACGTATACAAAACGTTTTGTCTTTTTGCAAATGTTTTGAAATGAGAGTGTAGGTGTAAAAGTTTTTGTCGGGAGCAAGCGAGTAACTAAGAGTGAATCTATCTACTCGAAAGGTCTTAAGTTGTTCTTTTGTTCCTCCTTTTAATGGTGTTATCTTACCATTGATTTGGTAAGAAGCCCCACCATTGGATGTGAAGGGACAGGCGCGGGTTAATTTTACAGTCATTGATGGCAACTGGTGAGGCACTTTAGCAATTTTTTGTAAGGGGAAAGATCATTTTAATCGAAGGCAACATCGAGGGTCATCGAGGGACTACGATCTTTGTTTATCGAAGGTTCATTGCTAGAGTGTCTCATATTCGAGGGACGTGATTGTATTTACGAGGCAACGAGCGAGGTTACCCTAGAGGTGCGCGTGTGAGAAAGTGTGTTAGTTTCAAATTATTTATTCTTTGATTAGGTCATCTAGCGATTGATTTTTGGATCTTTCCATACATGCCTAGTTACTATACAATATATGGAAAACAGTAAATTGCGGAAATTGAAATTATACGCTATTACAAAATGTTCGGGAATGGGGGTACAATTATTACAAATGGGGATGAATCAAGTGAAATAGCAATGTCCAAATATCAAGCAATACAACCAAATCGAATTTTTGTGCGATTTAATATAAAGCTATGACAATTTACGAAAATAAAATCAACAAAGTATGAAATGTATGTATTTACTTGAAAAGAGAAAAATAAAACCTATTCTAAAAAAGAAAATGATTTAAATTAAAAAAACTTATTATTATTTTTTTGTATTTTTATTAATCACACAAATAAATTTTAAAGAAAGAAGACAAACTAGGTTAATTGTTTTTGATGTTTTATTAAATGTAGAAAATTAATAAAAATAAAAAGTTTATATAAAAAAATAAAATTAAATGACTAAAACCTAAATTAATTTAATAAAAGGTTTTAAGTTATGTTAATTATATTGTATAATAAAAAGAAAAAATAAGAAGGAGAAACAATTACAAAAAGGAAATGGGCTTAGGGAGTTTGACTTGGGGTGAGGCCCAAGAGAAAAAAGTATCAGTTAGCAAAAATGAGCCAAGGGGGGTGCAAAACGCATGGCAGATGGGCTTAAGGAGTTTGTAACAAAGTAGAGCCCAATGCACTAAAGTTGTTTAACGTGTTTAATTAGGGATGTGAAAACGAATTAGGGTTCTTGGAACCCTTTTTCGTCCACAGCGGCGCTGTTGTACTCAAAAATTTGCCCTCTCATTTTATCAAGATTTCCCCTCACAAGACTCTTTGAACACCAGACAGGATTAGGGTTTTGCTCTACTCAAGACATCTCCTTGCACTGATGACCTAAATTAGGGTTTGAGTTTTCACAGGGATTTTTGGACTTCCAATGCTCAAAGTGACTTTCATACTTCATATTGGACCTATAAGATTGCCTCTACCAAGTTTCAAGCCTTGAATCAAATTTTTTCCCAGTCAATTGGACAATTGACCTAAAAATCAGTTGTATTGGGGAAATGTCAATTGTGGCCAGTTTACAGTCAAACCTCACAATTTTTGACCCACATCAACATTATAGACTCATATGAACCATTTGATCAAGTTTGGACCACAACTCCTCAAGAAATTTGATCTGATCATCAAAAGGGCAAATTGGTCATTTTTAGGGTTTTGACTATATAAGGGCAATTTCTGATTTTTCACCTAGCCAATGGAAAATTGGGTTCAAGCATGGACTCAAGGAATCAATGGCATCATCTTTACCTATTCACAAGGTTCAAAAGATCTCAAATTCCTTGGATTGATAGATGAATTTTCCAGTCAACTGATCAATATTTGACTATACACTGAAAAGTCAAACTTTGAATTTTTGATCAAAATCAGATGCCAAGGGTCATTTTTCATCAAGATGTGTCAAAACATGAAACTTGTTCATCAAGAAACCCAATTTTGCAAATTAGGGTTTAAAATTGAAAATTTTCATAACTTAGAATTTTTCTAAGTTATGAAATTTCCTTAAATTTTCCCAACATTGCCCAACATTTTCACCATGATGCAATTGGATTCAAACAAAACTTCCAACATGAAAGTTGTAGTCCTCCACAAAATATACAAATTTTAATCACAAAGTTTTCCCAAACTAAGCTTGGATCTTAAGTTATGATATTTAGAACAAGGGTCCATGAAACATTTAACTTAGTGAAATTTTGCCCTAGTTTAGGCAGGATTTTGACCTATCTTCATGGCCATTTTTCACATAGTTCCACTTGGAATCTCAAAATGAATTTCAAAGATAGATTGTATAGAATGTTACAAGCTTTCCAAAATTTCCAAGAACTCTCCAAAATCATTTGTGGTCATGGAGAATCGAAGGCTTGAAGTTGGAAAAAACTCACTTTTAATCCATGGCATTTTCATATTGATACAAGTTGCAAACTCTAATCAACCTTGTTTGTACTAGATTACAGGTCCCAAAACCCTTCCATACTAAATAATTAAATGCAAATCCATTGGGTTGAAGCTTTGTTCTGGTCATTAGAGGATTATACAATAGATTAATCCAAAAATAGTAAAAGGCAACATTGCCATTTTTGTCAAAATCTTGCTTTATGTTGAATTGCATCCTTGAGCCTTGAACCAGATCTTATACAACAAATAAAATCCACAAACTTGGGGCCAAGCTTGCACAATGTATGCAGGGTTATATCTAGCCTGTACAAGCCTTCTCTTTGTCACTTGTCATTTTTGCTTCATAACCAAGAAACTTGCCAAAATCACATAACTTGAACATCTGAGAGAACCAACCCTTGCAAGCTTTTGAAACAAGTTTTATGAATTCCCTTGAGCCCGAAACACGAGCCATTGATCCCTAAAACCTTCCAAAGCACAAAATCACCTCCCTCTTGCAGAACAGGGCAGCTTCTGCACTTTGAGTTCTATCTCACAAGTTGCTCGTGCATTTTGCCCCAAACTTGTTCCAATACATTCCATATAACATATCCAAGCTATCCCAACCCTTAGACAATGACTGTAACTCCATTTGCAAGCTTTACCATTTCTGTTTTCAGCTTGTGCAGGTTGAGTTCTACAAGCTTATTCAAGTACATTCAAAGCAAACTAGGCATTGGGGAAGGTCAGAGGAAGTTCAAGCAAGCTCCCAAACATCCCAGGCCTCACTGAAAAGCTCCACATTTCCATACACGATTTTTACTGAAACAGGTTTTTATCAACTTCCTATCTCTCTATTTAGGAATCATTAGGCTTAGGTTTGTGAATAAAAAATGTAGTACTCATAGCCATGAAGTTGTACATATGCTCAGTTTTCATTTAAATTAAATGTGTTAAGAGAATTTGATCCAGGAACTTCCTGAGAAAATTAGGTTAGAATTTAGGGCCATAGAAATTCTCTCTGGTCTTTTAGAGTTAGATTAAGTTTCTTATATGGTTGAATTCGTCTTGAAAAATGCTACAACTTTGATGTTATGAGTTTTTCCATTAGAACACGTATGCAGGATCTGGATATTTTGAACAGGCGCGCGTAATTTTGAGTCAAGGTTGAAGATGAAGCTTGGAATTGGGCTGGACTTTTGCTTCTTGTTTTTGGCACCCTCTGCTTTGCTGACTGCACCCGCCTGGCCCATTTCTTTATATTTTTATATTTTTGTATTTATTTTTCATTTCTGCTTTTATTTTATTATTTTCCAAACATAAAAAATACCAATAATATTTTTTATAAATTTTCATATTTATTTTTGTATTTTATTTTATTTTTCTAACATAAAAATAATTTAGTTAGTATATATTTTTTATTTTATTTAATGAAAACTTGAAAATAATACATATTAATATTATACCTTTATTTATTTTATTTTTATTTATACTTAA